ATACTATTTTCATGTCTTTCTATTTGTATCAATAGGTACTTTTTGCTTAACTTACGAATGTTGAATGCAAATTAACTTCATTGAAAAAAGAAAATAACGTCATTAATTTGGGGGAACATGTGGCTGATTATATGAAGGAGGTATATTCCAGTATTTTTGTTTAACATATTAACTCACGAGAAAATGTTCGTACATTTATCATCTAGTATTAATTATTTTTTGATGATTGGTCTAAAACATTCAATACAACCATTAAAAATTATCTCCCATCGCCGGGTATCGAACTCCCGATCACCTATTGCCCGCACCTTATCAAAAATATGGGGCGCCTCAGTCGACTAGGCTATCACAGATCGGCATAAGGATGGGAAAAAATAGCATTTAAAAGACTCGGACGATGGGCGGGACTTATCACAAGAGTTGTCCTTGAGCGATTCGGCGATTCACGTCTTCGTAGCTTCTGGAGAAATGAGCTAAGCGCCTTTCTCTGTGAGACATTGTTTGCCTATGCTATCATGTGTCTCAAGGTTCATATCAGCAGGCATTTGCCATCGCGGCAGTAAGCTGAGGCAATATTTCTGTATTCATGGAATAAATCAATCAATCGAGTTCCGATTTTGGCTCATATTTCCGTAACGGGTCCTCCAGAGCAGTTTTACACCTTGCACAATAGTTATAATTTCTTTATTTCTATTTGTAAAATTTGAGGTGGGATAATGGCGGCTTCTCAAGAACACCGAGGTAGGCGATCTTTTGCACCAACGAACAGAAAACTGATAGCGAAAAATAACCAATCAGAACCTCCCAAAAAAAAGAATTTGCCCAAAAACGGAACTTCGTGGATCTGCGCAGATTTACCAGTCAGACACGACATCTCAAGAAGGAAAAAAACTCGCTGAAAGCGAATTTTAGCAATCAACACAACTTGACGTAGAGACATGATTGGCTAAAAAATACAACGGTTTTTGATACATCGGAAAATCAACCAAAAATCGGAGACTGGGCGAAACGCTCAAGGTCGCAGAGGTATAGGGAATCCCATAGCGAAAGCAACGGAACGATTGTAATATCATGGGGAACTCCGTTCCCATGACAAAAAGGATACGGAAGGGATATTGGTGGAAGCGGGGAGTTGCACTAGACAAATGAGTTAGGTAATAGACTAACTAACGGTAACCCACAAGAGACCCTTTTGTTACTCCATAATTTTTTCCTTAGTCGATAGGAGTCACCCATTTCAACTGATAGGATCGCTCCGTACTCCTTATATCCTCTTTGTCTATCGCTTTGTCTATCAATTTCAACAATCAGCCTGCTTATATGTGAGTCGTTGTCTGCGCAAGATTTGGAAGTGGATACATGTGAAGTTTATTCCTGTTTCAGAATTGTCTGCGGGCTGATTGCTGAAATTTATAGACAAAGCGATAGATTAAGAGGACACAGAGAGTATGGAGCGATCCTATTAGTTGAAATGGTTGATTCCTATAGATTAAGGGAGAAAATGATGTACTAATTTAGGGTTTCTCATGGGTTGTCGTTAGTTAGTCTATTTTCTACCTTCTTCGCCCTTTGCAACCGCCAGCTTCCTCCAATAGGATCCCCTCTCCTCCCCTGTGTCTTCTTTGTCCATAGCTTTGTCTATCGATTTCAAAAATCAGTCCGCAGGTGTCCAACTATTCCAATCACAGTCTCTGATAATAAGTTGGTCATGGGAAGGTTTTAGATCCACTTTTCGCACGCATAGAAATAATCCAGACGTATTTTGGGACTATGATTAGTGTGCCGAGTGCGGTTTATGGTTCGTTTATTTTTGGCTAAAACGGGAGCGATTTTATTTAAGGTACCTCTGCGACTAAGATTGAAAGCAATGGTAGCCAATGATAATGTTTATTGTGTTTCACGGCAACTTTTTGATGCAGTATGAGCTCCACTGGGCGAAGTTCTTCAGTGACAAAATGTTCGCTGTCCTTGGAAAATAATAATTTCGGATTTCTAAAAGTTCAGAAAATACATCTTTCCGACACCCCAGTTCCATTAAGTAAAACCAACTACGTTTATTTTATTCTATCAACTCCATGGTGTTGGCGCTAGAATACTCACTGCAACAAAAATTTCAAAGACCTCTGAAATAATATGATCCTTTGTCAAGTCGCCTGCTGTATCCAACTTATCCAGCAACGTGTCAATATATATTTGTGGACCCTCTGAAATGAGGTATTAAAAAAATATATGTATTAATGGAAAAAATCATGTCAACGGTGAAATTTGCAAAGCAAGTATAATGATTTGAGTGTCATAAAATGTTATACATTTATTTGTTCAAAAGAAAGGCAACTGATGCTTCCATGAAAGTTGCCCACGGTATTTAAATTCGTGATTCGAATACTACCATTCGATTTTTTCCGAGGTTTAAGCATTCATTTTACAACATTAAATTCAAATTAAGCAGCCGGCATAATAATACGTTAATAAATGCCCTATTTTCTAAGGTACGTGGTATATAAAACTTGGGGGCACGCCACCCCGGCCGGAACGCAGCCAAACTCCCACAGAATGCTTAGCACCATCTAAGGCCAACTTTGCAGACCTCAGGTAGTCGATCTAAATAGTTCGGGACATTTCCTATCGATCGCCTCGAAAATCATGATAATATCGGCACATTAGATCTTTAGAACAAACTGTGACAACACATGATCATTTCCATTGTTCACGTGGAAGAACTCTCAACTTTATCTGGGCCGTATTTCCAAAATCTGAATAGCGCGGGCTTGTCTAAAAATTATTTCACCTGACGACATCCAGAAAATTCTTGGAAATCGGCCGTAAAAAACGGTAAAACGAACTGTGACAAAATATAAAAATTTAGAGGGTTAAAGAGTTGATAGATGGCAATGATAGAGGTTATCCAATTGAAGTGTACCCTCTCGTTTTTCCCTTTATGATTTATTTTCAAGTTCTAACCGGTCAAATTAATTGTATTGCCCGCCTATCGTTTAGTCCTTACCGGAATGTTGCCTTTTTCCTCCAGCCGTTTCTCTCTCCTTGATTCTCTGCTCCACAATCTGAAATAAAGCAAAGGTGGTTTGTCATGCCTGCCAAAATCATCACAAGACGCTAAACAAAAAGAAGGAAAAAACAGTAGCAGCATCAAGAAACTACAGAGTTAGAACCTGTCTCGACTTAGAAAAGAAGTGAAAAAATTATACCGTTTTGGATATATTTTTTGCATTAAAATCAATTCCTCTGAATATCAAAAAGAACCATGTATTAAAAGGTAAGAGTTAAACTTATGCGGTCGCTGTGTAGCTTTTCCCTCAGTAATGTTTCAAAAATTCAAAATCATACTCTATTATATGTATAAAAGCACGTATGTATCGTAATAAATAAAGCCTGTGGCGCGGAGCGCTCCGGAGGTTAAACTGAGGAGCGGTCAGGGGGCTTATCCCCCTGGTATATCGTAGAAACATTATTGCGCAGCAAGAAAAACGAGTGATAATCTTACCTCACGAGGTACGCTTTGACATTCGTACAGTAATTTGTCTATCAATTTCCTCTTTCCTGTAAGCGAATAGACAAAATCTGGCCAGAGTAGTAGAGAAAATACTCTTTCATGAATCATCTCGGCAGCTCTGTAAGGTAAAACAATAATTTCTTTCACGTATCAAGAGAAACCTTAAGAAACTTTATACATTCACTTTCTGGAGCCTAGAAATATAAAGAATTGAAAATAAAATAAATAACCATTCATGCTCATGATCAAGGTTTCGTGATGAGGGACTGCATTCCACCGACAGTTTCTTTTGAAATAGATAACATTCATACTATCACATGATAGAATATGTATAATTTCAAAACATCTTTGTTCATAGCACGAATGATGATTTTCGAAAAAGTAATCATGTCAGGGTTGCAATTTTTCACGAAAAATAAAATCTTGGAATATCATGTGAAGTATTGCTTGAAATTTCCGAAAAATGTGAAAAATAATGAAAAATATTTTTCGAAATTAAATGCAAAATTAAATGAAAGGCGACTGGTTTTTGCTTTTTGGTGTTTTTTCGTACGTGTTGCATACCCAGCCCCTGAAAATGAGTCTCATATGTTTCATATTTTTCACAATTTCGTGAAATTTCATGAAATATTCCACGGAAATTTTCATATTTCATATTTTTCATTTCACCCATGCAACCCTGTTGACAGTCGAAAAAAGTGATAACCGTACTACAGAAAGCACTAAAGCTACATCAAAGACTGAACAGTTGACGGATCTCCTAAGATATCCATTGAGAATGTTCGACTTACTCTAACATAGCAGTGGAAAGTCGGGTTGAGCAATTCTTCTGAGCGCGAATCCGAGTTCCAATCATGTTGTCTGAAAAAAGAAATATGTGAAGTCTTAGAAATAAGCTACGCATTTTAATAGGGTTTTAAAACATTTTATAAATATTCAAAAATGTCATCATTTTCATAAAACTTGTTGTTGTGTGACATGGACATTTCCAATTACTTGTGGTAGTACACGAATTAATTGCGGTAGTACACGAATTAATCGTGGTCGTGCCCCAATAAATTAGGTTACTAACCCAAATATTGCGGAACCACCCTGACTTGAATTGCGGTTCTACCACAATTAATTAGAAATGTCCGTATCACCCAACAAATTGTGGTAGTACCACAATTTTAGGGGATAACCCCTAACACTTTTTTTCCCGGGAAACCTTTTAATTATTTTTTTCACATTTTGAAAATGTTTTAAAGATGATTGAAAAAGGACCATACAAAATAATGATAAAAATAATGTAATGTAATGTACATATAATGTATAAAAACGCATGTTTGTTACTCCATAACTCATCTCTTCTTAGACATTTCAAACTCGTTTCTGAAATATTTTAGTTTTTTTCCGCGTTGAAAAACATTGGTGAAAGATTCATATTATGGCTGATAATGTAGAATCATCTTGATTTTGAGTTTTTAAGCAATATTCGGCTCTTTATTTAGTGGGCGGTCTTATAATGGACCTCTACACAAGGTACGAATTTAAGCATTCTGAAACATGTTCCTTATCCAAAATTTCACCTAAAACACGATTCGCGCAACGAAAATTCCTTACCAAGATATTTAATGTTCCTTGAAGCGTGAATTCAAACCTCCCGCTCAAGAAAACTCGATGGTCTACGTGAGTCAAACCGCACACAAAACGTTACCGTAGCAGTCACTGCGATACAAAAATATGGCAACCCCAATCTTGACACTTTGCTTCAGCCACAGCAAATTGTACCTTGAACAATAAAAAGTGAGGAAGAAGCATTGCTCGGTTAAGAAGCCTAACAAAGTCGTTGTGCGGTATGCAATTTGACAGACGTAGAATAATGCGTTTCTTGTCACCGGGCAGTTAAAATTTCCCGTAACCAAAATAAAATCAAAACATTAATATCTGAGTTAGGAGTTAAATTCAATAATATTCAATGAAAGAGGCTTGTTTATCGTGAAATTCTGGTTAGGAAACATGTATTAGAATGCTTAAATTTCGTACCTTATCTAGTAGTCCATTGCATTGGTCTAGTGGTCCAATTATACTTCATCCTATCATCCCTTATTGTCAACGAAAATTGAGCGAACCCTCGAGTTTAAAGGGTAGCATGTGCTTACCGCAGATCATGTCTATAGTGCACAAATGGACGGGGATAAATATGTCAAACCCATCACCGCCTACATGCTGTTTTAGTTGATCGACGAAGACTTCGCCATGGTGGTAAAAACTATCATCAAAAAGCATCAAGACGTTGGTCCGAAAGCTTGGATTCACGATATTGCGCAGAAAACGCCACTCTGCTCCTAGAAAAAGTGAAAATATAAGTTGGCCATTACTTTAGGGATATATAGATGCTTTTTGAATGGCTTTGTAGTTTATTGTGTAACCACTGATGATGACTGCTGTGATAGTTCGAAACGTCTGGTATGTGTATTTCCACCATTGTACAATGAGTAATGCCTGTTTCAAATGACCTAATTTTATCATTATACTTAATTTGTAAATAATTGGCTATAGCTCAAGTCACATGTATGAAGAAAGTATTAACATTATGAAGAAATGAAGCAGTTGGCACTCCCTCATTTCTTCTAAAACCCCCTGTCGCCACCCTTTCAAGTTTCACTGGGCGACCCCTTCCTCTCCTCCCAGAAAGAACCACTAGCGCATCGGGATGCTACCCAATATTCAACATGGCCGACGCCAACTCACGTGACGAGACGGGGCTTTATCAACCAGCGAACTCATATTTTCATTTTCTTCCGTTGATAAACTAGACCATGGCTTCCTTGCAATTTGCGCGCGGAAGCGTCAGATAAATATATGTTAAAGCATCCTAGTGCGCAAAGTATTGTGTGGAAGGACTGTGAAATGAAGTCGCGATCATCACCAGGCACCACCTCTCTAACTTTTGAACAGATTAAGATGGAGAATTGAAATTTTGTGAGTGCTCCTACACTGAGAAAAAACTATGGTTTATAAACCTATTAGAGGTAAATATGGAACACCTATAATAGTCGTAAATAAACTAATGATTCTCGGTCTGTGAACCATACTAAGGTCTCTGTACCTAATTAAGGTACCCCGTACCATAACTAAGGTATATGTGCTATTATTATATGTAGAGGTACTACTATTAGTGGTGTTCCATATTTACCTCTAATAGGTTTATAAGCCATAGTTTTTTCTCAGTGTAGGTCAAAGAACGACCTCCACATTTTATGGGAACCTCCCTGCAAAAAAGCAAGAGTTTTAAGGTTTACAGGGAGCATGCGGAACTTATGGATCACCCTGTATACTGTTGATTCCCGAATTTTTCGTGTCATTCATAAGCCCGGTGAAGACAATCTTTCTTTTCAGCGCCCGAGCAGGAAAGCTATCAACAGGGTCATTCCAAACTAGCAGTCTAAATGGTCTCAAGGCAGTAATTCTCTTACCTCGCCAAGAAAAAAACTATCGAACATTTAAATGAATGTTTCTTGTGTTTTTTGGAGGACATTTTATCTTTATGACACTTACCGACGGCAGAGAACATCGACCTGGTAGCCATTTTAAAGTATTCATAGTGGTAAGTTTTTTCAACATTTCCTGAAGATAGAACTGCCTGAAATAAGACAGAAAATGAACTAGGTGTTGAACGGAATGCAAGAGATTCAGTTAATTGGGGTTGAGCAGGAACCCATAAGACCACATTCATGACAAGGCCCATCTCACACTGGAAATTTTTACTTTTGCTGTAAATACTTACACCCATTCCGTTTATCATCAAGATTTAATTGCTTTTGTAATTATTTGTAAGTCCCTCGATTATAATGAAGAAATTAATCAATCATGTGTTAACTAGGAGTTGCAACTTACACCGAAAAAAATTGGTGCTCCAGTAACATTCAAATGTTAAAAAATTTGCAACAGCTCTTGGATGTTGTCATTACCACTCTGGTGTTAAAGTTACATCCTAGGATGTTACTTGTACATCATTAGATGTTACTTTCACATCTTACGATGTCACTTTTATAACCTATAGGCTGTTACTTTAACACCAGAGTGTTCATGACAACATCCAAGAGTTGTTGCACATTTTTTAACACCTTTTTTTTCAATGTATCATTATACTGTTACACTGTTTCTTCGGAAAATATTGCTCAGCTTCACCTTCTCAATTTTAATAAAAGAAAAATTTACTCTTGAGCACCAGCTTGAATGATAAGTCAATGTTCACTGAAAAAAAATTCTCGGCGTTTTTACCAAGGTCCGTTGGTACCTTTACCATCTCGTTTTTTTTACCAATTATTGGTAACTTTACCAAGACAGACTAGTAAGCTTACTTAAAAACCAGTATTTTTACTGTTTTTTCAGGTATGAATACCACTTTTATTGGTAATCAATTTCCGGTAACTTTGCCATTTTATTTCGGTAATTCTACCACAGTCGATAAAAAATATCGGCGTTTTTACCAAGGCCCAGTAAAATTACCGAGAAAGTTCAATAATATTACCGAGATTTCTTGGTAAAATTACCAACTCCATAAATGATAATTTTACCAAGAAAAAACTGGGATCAAATAGAACCCTGAATTTTTGGTAATTTTACCCTTCCCTGGTAAATACACCGAGATTTTTTTTTCTGTGTTGAATGATAAGTCAATGTTAGAGAAATATATTAGATTATACTAGATATCACATTTCAAGGTTGAAAGTCAATTTCTTACATTGAATACTTCCCGACTGCTTGTGACCACGTGAGGCTCCTCCCGCTCCCATAATCCAGCAACACCAGGATAATTCTTCGCAAATGTTTTAAATTTGGAACATATATCTGAAAATAATCCGTAATTGATACATATGAATTTAGTATATAGATTTATAACTCGATCGTCAAACCAATTATATCCTTTGGCAGTTGGAACCAAAAAATGCTTAAGACGACAGATATGGATTTTTGGCGAAACACTGAAAAAAAAATCTCGGTTTATTTACTAAGAAAAGGGTAAAAGTACTAAGAATTCAGGGTTCTATTTGATCCCAGTTTTTTCTTGGTAAAATTACCATTAATGGAATTGGTAATTTTACCGAGAGATCTCTGTAAAATTATTGAACTTTCTCTGTAATTTTACTGGACCTTGGTAAAAAACGCCAATATTTTTTATCGACTGTGGTAGAATTACCGAGATGAAATGGCAAAGTTACCGGGGATTGATTACGAATAAAAGTGGTATTCTTACCTGGAAAAAACAGTAAAAATACCGGTTTTCAGGTAAGCTTACCAGTCTGTCTTGGTAAAATTACCAATAATTGGTAAAAAAAGTGAGATGGTAAAGGTACCAACGGACCTTGGTAAAAACGCCGAGAATTTTTTTTCAGTGAAGTCGGCTGGAATCTTGAGGAGAGAACGTATCAGAATGATGAACGAGTCCAAGAGACGTGGGCGTCAGTGGCGTGGCGTGGATTGCGATATATCGATTATTCTGCCATTTAAACCTATGGTGAAGAATCGATTATTAAGGTGTTCGCTGCGAACACCCTGTATATTGACCCTTTTACATAGGTTTAATCGGCATAACAATCGATATATCGCAAAGCACGCCACGCCTCTGGTGGGCGTTAAATATATAACTGCGAGCAGATTGTTAAAATTGATAGACAAAGCGATGGACAAAGAGGACATAAGGAGTATGCATCGGTCCTATTGGTTGATCCTATTGGTTGAAATGTGTGGTTCTTTTAAGACTAAGGGAGAAAATGATGGATTAACTAATGGGTCTCTCGTGGGTTGCCATTAGCTTACCTACTATCTACTTCCTTTGTCCACTAATAGGATGCCTTCGTTACCCTTTTGTCTTCTTTGTCTAAAGCTTTATCTATACATTTCAACAATCCACCCGCTGTGCGGTATATTATAACAGGCAGTTGGTATGCGCAGTTTCCGACTTGGGTCCCGTTCCCCAAAAAAATATCCGACTTGGGTCCCGCGGTCAATTAAGGAGATCCGACTTGGGTCCCAATGCATTTATGTTCCAACCTAATTAAGTCCCACGTAATCGGCATTGAATCAGGAAGTTTGCTAGTTTGGCAACTATGTAAGCGATGAAATGTCTCACGTCTTATCAGATAACGTATATCAAATTCAATGATACTTCCCCACCCGTTAAACCTTCTGAACACATTAAGAAGAAAAAATTCATAGATGAAACTATGACCAAGTACTTGATCAAAGAAGTAAATCGTTTTGAATACGTTCGCTTAGTTTCTAAAAAGTTCCTTCCGTCGTAAGTGTCTTGTCATTTTTAGATTGTTTTATTTGTACTGACTAGGTCACAAAACGTGACCGTTCCTTGTTTCCCTGATTTATAAAAGCGAATAGGAACAAATGTATTGTTTTTTTTATAAAAGAAAATTAAAGATTAAATAAAAAGAAAAAAGATTGTGTTGCTTCTCGGCGATTCCATAGCGAGGCACGGTTGCCGAATTTACTAATATCTTCCTTTAACGTTAGGAGTGACCAAAGTCCATTGGGACCCAACTCGATCGGGAGCAAAGTCCATCGGGACCCAAGTCGGTTACCTAATCACCGACACGGGACCACGGGACCCAAGTCGGACGTTGCCTTGGTATGAACTGGTACTTAACTGGTACTTGTACTGGTACTTGGTACTGGTACTGGTACTGGTACTTGGTACTGGTGCTTGGTACTTGGTTGCCTTGGTTGCCGTTGGGCATCTGCGAGATGGCCGATTAGGTTGCTAAAAAAGGCTTTAGAGTATGGGTTCCCCCAGCAGGTAGGCGTCGGAGAGGGCGTCCAGATAAAATGTGGATAGTAGGCTTCCAAAAAAATATGGAGGGATGCTAGTTTCCAGAAGATCTCTACAATTATTCTTTCTCTACAATTATTCTTTCGGCGGTTAGGCGTCGGAAAGTACCCTAGCAGTGCACCCTAAAAGCGGCAATAATACATACACTTCGACGGTGTGTGTAAGTCGGCAATCACATAACTCGGTTTGCGACGTCGTAGACTTCCTGTCATACTTTACTTTTTAAACGGAAAAGTACTCAGGTGCAATTCTTTAAAACTGCCGTGATTTTTCCTCTCTGTGCTAAGAAAATTCTGCATAAACCTCACACTGAATAAGAAAAAAAAAATTGGATCTAGAGTCCAGACTCTTAAAAACATCGACAAGGAAAAATACTCTTGATTCAATCAGATTTAAGCTTAAATCAAGAACCAAGCCTCTTGATTTGAGCTGATTTCCTTTTGATTTAAGCTTAAATCTGATTGAATCAAGAGTCCTTTTTCTTGTCAATGTTTTCAAGAGTCTGAACTTTAGATCCAATGTTTTTTTCCAGTGCAAAAAATGATGTCAATTTGTTCTCCTCTAAAAAAATTACATAGAGCGGAGATTTTCAGACACCGCAAACGAGATATGTGATTGCGGACTTACGCCACCCATTTATCAATTTAGCAAAAGTTTGAATGTATAGCCAACAAACCTTTTGTTTCATGCCAATTCGAATAAATCAGTGCAAAAGTTGCTGATATTTTCAACCGAGAAAATGTGCCAACCAAGAAATGAATTCTACCGAAAAAAACATACTTACTATTCCTCGTGGTCCCTGCAAAGATGTAGCTGGCGCCTACAAAAGGAAGAGGAACAGGTCCAGGTAGCGATGCCATGAGTGAGTATATTCTCCGATATTTCCACCGCTGATAAAGCGCGCGGATAACCAGAGCACCAATCAAGCAAATCCATAAAATATGCGAGATTTTTAATCGTGGAATATTGACATCCATGCTAGCTGGTTTGTGTGGCAACCTGCAAAATGTGAAGGTGTGGGTCAGTCTGAAGTCTGTTGCCTGTGAAAAAAACCATTTTGCAAGGTCGTTAAATTTGCGAGTCACCAACGGCTACGAGAATCAATGAGAGACCTGCCGAAATGCGGAAGCACATCGACGCGACGGTGAAACTGCAAAAATGTGTATCACGGTTACGGTGTTTAAAAATCTTCAGCCCTGGTTTATTTTCTAAAAGGAGGCGAAACCATCATCATGGCTTGAAATGTTTACAAAATATTGTTTAAAGAGAGAATAAAAATCACAGAAATTTTCAAGGAATGATAATTGGTAGTTTTCCATGTAAAAAATAAAGTAAGACAGGCGACGCCGCAATCTGAGAAACGCATTTCTCCAGTTTCACCATCGATGTATCCTTTCTGAATAATCTCTGTATAAGGTTTGTTGTTCGATAAAACTCTCTATGGTGCCCTGTCAATGCCATCGGTTTTCTTAATTTTTATGCCAGTACAGGCTTTAACCCACACTTTTGTTATGGTCACGAAAGTTTTATTAAAAAGCTAAACCTGCTTCGGCGTCAGCTATTTCAACTTTCATATCCTACTTTTGTTTGAGATTTATTTCGGCATTTTGCGTACCAACACTCTGATCGATCAATCCTCTTAGCTCTGGCATCAATGACTCAAGTTTGAGTTTTTGAGGACAATAATGTTTGAGGATAGGAAATATTTAAAGTGGAAGTCATGAACGCATTTTACATGTGGTTTGCATTTTGCGAAAAGGAACCAAGAGCTTTCCGTCGTTGCAATGAAATCACTGAAGTCAAAAAAATTGAATTAAAATTAAATTGCAAAAAATTAAATTTTCTAAGGTAATTTTCCCTTTGAACTTACAGTTTATTGCGAATAAAGATTAAACTCGTTTAGATTATCAGTTTACATTTGCATGGTAAAAAACTTTGCACCATCTCAGCGACTGCAGCAAATGCAATCCATATGAAGTTGATTCGTTCCGGAAAATATGTGNGGGGGGGGGGGGGGGGGAAGCGCGCATATCAAAGACAGTGTGCGATTGAGGAAAACCAGGAAAAAAGTCTAGCTGATAAAGAAAACAAAGTCACTGTAGAAAAAAAGCCGTCAGAATTACCAGGAAGGTGGTAAAATTACGGAAAAACAGATGAATCGCCTTACAGGAGCATTAATAATTTTACCAAATCCTTCCATCCTTTTTCACCTGAGGCCTCTAAGTTCAAAACTGGCTTGCCCTTAAATATTACACCCACGTGAATAATGCTGCCAATTCAAGATCGTTCTCACAATGTTTGACATTTAACGATGCGTTTATCGCCAAGTTAATCAGGCATTTTGGTTTAATTCGTCCGTTCTGAATGCTTCCTGACTTGGATAAGTGCTCTGCTATTTTCAAATTTTAATATGAATTATAGAAAAGGAAAAACAAATTAGATAAAGACTTACCCTCGTTGGACTATATTAAATCTATTTCAATTGAACTTTCAATCTTTGAAACACACATATGTACTCCACGTACTCACATGAGATTAATGTAAGTTCTTACTCAAATTATCACTGACTTCCTTTCGTCTGTTCACAATTTGTATTCGATTCAAATCTTTCCGGCTTCATTTCAGTTTTTTTGCTTGAATCTCTGAATCTTCTACATAAAACACAACCTGGCGGCCGGATATGGAGGTATGGTAAGCGATTTTTTCTCTCTTTCCCGAATCCTTCGATGCCTCATCGTACATTCAGTGCTGGGCACCACAACAAAAACTCTCTCCATCACATGATGCCATATCTTCGTTGAATACGTTTACCAAGGTTCGCAGCAATGAAATTGACGGATCTAGAGTACAATTTTTCAACTGTCAGTTTGTGAATTATTGAGTCAAAGTTGGTGACTTAATTGTCACATTATTGCGTTAACTTTCCTTGAAACATCATTATTAAAAAATCGTAACCTGAATGCATCAATTTGGTAAATAAAATCGCGATTTTTTCTCCATCGATGAAATGTAGCCGTTTAATCTCGGTAAAAGTCGCTATTACGTTTCATTTTCTCGGCCAAAGCGAAACTGCGGATCTTCTTTTGCGATGTTGCTAACTTCCTGTCATACCAATTTTTTTTTTTTTTTAGGAAAACTAGTCAACGTATCTTCTTGAAAATTTCCTTAATTTGTCTTCTTGGTGAACAGAATATTCTGTATTTTCAGGCTATGATGCAGGAATCACTTCAGAGACTTCAACGCAGCGCCAGAAAAGTAGGCGTGCCGACAAATGCGAGTTGCTTAACGCATGGAGGCCTTATTTACTTAAATAAAAAAGTGCACATGCTGAACCACACCAGAGACTTTTAGACATTTAGTGAGACACATCTATTCTTCGCCTGTAATTCTGATCGGCTGAAAACGCGATTTTCAATGGGCGCGACACGTTACAGTTGCGAAAATGGCAATGTTGCTACGGGCAAAGGGTTTAAAAATAATTTTCTAGGGAAACTGCTGAGCGCAAAATTGGGCCAAACTTAGTGTTCAAAGACACATTTTCACATATTTTATGGCGCCTATCTGTGCTTAGGCTGTACTTTTGATTCGCAAAAAACGGGATTTGCAATGAGTACGGTTCATTACGGCTGCGAATATGCAGGTAAAGTTGCAGGAAAGGGGAGGATCTGTAAATTTAAAAAAAAAAAAAATGGGAAAACCGTGCTAAACATGTGAAAACATGCACAAAGTTTTGTCCGTACACAAATTTTCAGATCTTTAGGGGCAAGCCTTCGTGATCGCGTGCTACTAACATCGGCGAAAAACGCGAATTGCAATGAGTATGACTGCTGACAGTTGCGCATGTGGTTACATATTCAAGTATCAAAAATAGTATTCGGAGTTTCTTTGAGGAAAACTGTACGAACCATATGAAATTTTGCTGAAAGTCGTGCGTTTCAGCAAATTTTTAGACTTACTGCATTGGTGCACAAACGCACTCATTCGATCCATCCAAGTCGCCTTCATTAACCTGTTTAGGCAATTTATGCGACTCCAGAGTAGTAATAGTTGCTTGCAGACAGTAACCCCGCCCGGATTTATTGGTCTGGAGCACAACATACCAATCCTGTCGTGCCAAGGAAAAACACCGTATGAACATTCGAGAGTTGCCACATTACCGCCACTAAAATGTTTATTTTTGAGGAAATTTACGAATATTTTCTACTGAGATTTTCAGGAGCTTTGGGTGAAGTTCCTAACAAAATGGGCCTGTTGCATGCAAGAGATACAGCCGTGCGAATAGACTTTTGAGAGGTTAAATGACACGAAAATTACGATGGTCACATTAAAAAAGTCTGAAATACACTCCTTACTGCGCAATTTGCGTTGTTAGGAACGCGCTTTTTCAAATTTCCCGCGTCTGGGGGCAGTTTTCAAACGGAAACAATTAACGGCAACTCGCGGCTATTTCCGGTCAACTAAAACTGACAACATAACCTAAAAATCGGAGCTCGTGATATCGTGAAATGAAATGTAGAAGGATTGTGTTGGATATTTAAAAGTTGATCGATTCGGTTACCGCATAAAGCGTATATGGACCACTACAAGAGATCACGTTGGGTTTGTAAACAAACTGAAGGAAAAAATAGCAACGACTCGGCATCTTCTGGAAATCATCGAGCCCGCCGTTTGCTCGTTTCCGGTGATTAGAAAACTGCCCCCAGACGCGGGAAATTTGAAAAAGCGCGTTCCTAACAACGCAAATTGCGCAGTAAGGAGTGTATTTCAGGCTTTTTTTATGTGACCATCGTAATTTTCGTGTCATTTAACCTCAAAAAAGTCTATTCGCACGGCCATATCTCTTGCATGCAACAGGCCCAAATTTGGCAAAGCCTGAAGGCTCATGCGGCGTTCTTCCTTGGCACGACAGAATTAATATCATTCTATTCTTGCAAAGCAGTGATCCTAGCTGATTTTAATCATTGCCTTCAATGTATTGATTATAGGAAATGAGCAGGGCCGGTTTTACCTGTTTGCCGCCCATGGGCCGCCTGTATTTTCCCGCCCCTCCTCGTTCGTTCTGAAACTTCAATAAAAACCATCAAGTGAACGTACCGGAGGGGGAGGGGTGCATAAGACGCGTTAACTCGTGATGGACACATTTTCTGCGAAAGTCCTGTCAACACTACTAGCAACAGTTCACGGAACTTTGCGCGAACGTTAAGTTCCGTAAACCTATCTCTGTGTGGACAAGGCCTTCCATTTATAAGTATTGAACGAAAAAATTATGGAAGAACAAACATAAATGTGATTTAGTAATAATTTTAACTTCCGCCGCCGCGCCGCGCTGACCGCACAATACTTGGCGCATTGCGTGAAGTATTCCTACAGTCTTGTAGGCGCTATGCGTTTCACGTCGACCGCTGCTGACCGCACTATGTTTGACGCAATGCGTGAAGTATTCATGCAGTCTTGTAGGCGCTAATATGTGTTACATGCCGACCGCCGCGCCAAGAGCTTCTCCTTTTCATCTCAAGTCCTCGTCATCATTGCTCTCTACGCCGCGCCGTTCCAGGCCAACTTGCGTGTTTGGGTTCTCTCTTAACTCGACTAATTAAAGGTGCTGTCTCTTTTATCACCGAAAGACGACAAAATTAGAGATTAGTATACTCTCAGGAGATGAGAGATTTTTTCGCCGTTTTTAATTTGTAATTTTTTTCTCTGAATCCAATTTTTTTTTATACCTACATTAAAAAAAAAATTCAAAATTTGCCGCCATGGGCCGCGGCCCATGAGGCCACCTACTAAATCCGGCTTTCGTAATAAGAGGTTTTTGCAGCAGCAGTCAGGTCGTATTCGTTTCATTAAGTAATGTATTAGACAACGTAATTTTGTAGTTCAATACATTCTACTCAGAGCTTATCGACGGTGAAACTACCAAACCACGTATCTCGTTTGCGGTGTTTAAAAATCTACGCTCGCATTTTATTTTTTTGAGGTAGACCAAATCAATATCATTCCTTGAAATTTTCACAGAATTTTCTCCGCACGAAGAGGAAAAATCACAGAAATTTTCAAGACTGGACGTTAAGTAGTTTTTCATTTAAAAAATAAAGTATGACAGGAAGTCTGCGACGTCGCAAACCGAGATACGTGGTTTGGTAGTTTCACCGTCGTTATGTGTGAGCACAGAGTTGTTGTTTTGACAGTAATTAAATGCGGTTCTCAAAATACACAGTACATTGTTTTATTCACGGTATCTCGGATGCTTAATGCCTCTTGCACTGACGACTATCAAGGGAGAAAACATATTGTCGCCAATATCATCATGTCGAGGATGAAACTACCAGAAACGTATCTCGATTGGGGTGCTGCAAAATCTCCGCTCCCATGATTTTTTAAAGTTGAACAAATCAATATTCATCCCTTGAAGTTTTCTCAGAGTTTTCTTCGCACAGAGAAGGAAAAACACGGAAATTTTTAATAATTGAAGTTGCGTGGCTTTCAATTTAAAAATTGAAGAATGACAGGAAGTCTGCAACGTCGCAACTCGAGATACGCAGTCTAGGAGTTTCGCACCGCCGATGCATCTTTCACCTCGCAACATGGGTCGTTTATCCCTGTAAAAAGATCTTCCAGAATCAAGATTATGGAAGAGTTCTATTCATCCTTGAAGGTATTCAGGCACCGAAAAAATCCATCTGCTTTACCTGACCGAATCTTTTGAAGCTACCAAACACCAGGGCCGCATTGACCTACTTGGCCCCCCTTCTCATTCGTTTTGAAACATCAATAAAAACCACCAAGTGAACGTGGCGGAGTAGGAGGGGTGCTTAAGACACGTTTACTCGTGTCGGAACATGTTCTTGCGAAAGCCCTGTCAACACTACTAGCAAAATTTTACGGAACTTAGCGCGAAAGTTAAGTTCCGTAAACCTATCTGTGTGGAAAAGGCATTTTATATTTATAAGAAATGAACAAAAAAATTATGATAGAACAAACATAGATGTGGTTTAATAATTTTAACTTCTGCCATAGCGCCGCGCTGTATTTGACGCAATGCGTGAAGTATTCACACAGTCTTGTAGGCGCTATGCGTTTCACGTTGACCGCTGCGCTGCTGACCGCGCTGTGTTTGACGCAATGCGTGCGACGCATTCATGCAGTCTTGTAGGCGCTAAGTGTTTGCGCTTGCGTGTCTGGTTTCTCTCTTAACTCGACTACTTAAAGATACTGTCTCTTGTATCTCCGAAGGACGACAAAATACTTACTATACTCTCCGGAAATGAGAGATTTTGTCGTTTTTTCTCGTTTGTAATTTTTTTCTGAACCTAATTAAAAAAGTACAACTTAAAACATTTAAAAATATTGCAAAATTTGGCGCCATGGGCCGCGGCCCATGTGGCTGGCCACCCCCTAAATCCGGCTCTGCCTAACACATGAAGGAGTGCGAGGGCTTGAGGGGCTTAATTTTATTGTACTGCAAAGTTTCGAAGGTCATTGAAAAATGCGTTCATTGAAAATTTCATTTATTGGCGGGTGTGTATTTTTGTCATCAGACATTATTGAGGAAAATTTTGTCAACTCATTGAAAACATTCTCAACCAATTCCTAAAGAAAATTTACAACGTTCTTGAGTAGATCAATAATTTGTCAGTTGAAACATTGCAACTTAGCTTCTCAGTTCAGCACATCTGGCTCTCAATCCCTCAGCTAATTAAATTGGGTGCAATCGACAATTAGAGCTTCCAGGATCTTATTTTGTGTACTTCTTGACTAGAATTTTGTGTTTCTTACCAGGTAAAATGTATGTTTGAACAACGTTCACAATGGCGAGCGCGAGACGAACTCACTGAGTGCTTCCGAAAATCTAGTCTTAGCTTTTAGAAAACTACACCAATACATTAAATGTCATCTCATTATTATGTTACAGAAAATTCATTTGATGTTTCCATTCTTCACTGGTTTACTCTTTTTAAAATGAAATCTTACTGCCTGTGTAGCACAGATTGCAGTAAGTAGCAACTTATTACATTATAAAAATACTAGGGGGCTACGCCCCCTGGCCGCTACGCGGCCCAACCCCCTGAAGGCGCTCCGCGCCATCAATGGGCCGCTTCGCGGCCCTCTTTTTACCCTCCTATCAGTGTTAGTTTTATTTTTCCCCTAAAAAATTACGATATGAGGTATACTTTAATTTTAAACTTTACTTAAAATTACTTTAAAATTAAAAGGACGCGTTTTGGAATGACTGCTTGATGAAATATTGCAGTAAAACAATGAACAATGATAATCAGGTAATAAGTAGGATTCCATGAGTCGGGAATCGAACCTACACTGTGTTCAAAGTGGACGCGTTCGACAACTTAGACGACTCGGCCACTGCTCAGCGAGAGAATAAGAGCGCGAATCTTGTGTAGATAAGTGTAGAGCTGATGCGCAGGCTACACAGCTACTGCGCAACCTCCTCGACCACTGCGCATCCTCCCGCGCATAGCGGTAGCAGTACCGGAGCATTCTGTAAACTCACTCACTTTTATAACGTGATTTTAAAAAAACCTGGGTCCTTTTTCCAAAATCTGATTACAGCGGGCTCATCTAGGGCCTATTACCTGTCGATTTACGCAAAAATCATGGACATCGGCCCGGTAGATAACGCTCAAACGAACTATGACAAAAAGTATAAATTTACATTGTTTAAATGGGAGAATTCGCAACTTTACCACGTAATATAAAAAAAACCTGGGCCATATTTTGAAAATCTGAAAAGAGTTGGCTTATCTAGAGACAAGTGCCCGTCGATAGCCGCAAAAATCATGAAAATCAGCCCGGTAGAACGCTGGAACTACGCGTTACCAGTTTCGCAAAATTAGGAGGTCTTGGAGCTTATAGTATAGATTGCAATGCAATTCCACTGAGTGTTGTGTTTGTTGCCTAGCTCCTACTTGAAGGGGCCCCATTCGCTGAAACTTATCGCGATAAAATTTGAATAAGTTGCATATTTTCATTGAAATGCATATTGACTATCTTTCTGGCGTATGAAGCTCCTTTTGTTGATTGCAAAATAAATAATCGGCATAAATCCACTAAATAATGTAAAAATATTGAAATATAATTGTAAAAAAGTTACAATTTTATAGAAATCAAGTTGCAATTTGATTTCAATATATTCGTTGCACTGTGCTACTTGGGTGCTGTATACTATACTGACATACCTGTGTTCCCATACATGGTGTTGACGTTGAGACTCCCAGACAACGTATCTTGGTTGCAATGTTTTAAAATCTTTGCCCCTGTTTTACTTCTTTAAAGGAGGTTTGATTAACATCATTCTTTGAATTTTCTGAGCACAAAGAAGAAAAATCATTGCAGTTTTTAAGTGTTTTCCATTTTAAAAAAAGAAAAGAGTATGGCACGCAATATGCAATGTCGCAAACCGAGATACGTGGTTTCAAAGTTTCACAGTCAATAAGTTGATGCAACATCACGGTGATTTCAACATTATTTCATCTCAATTTTGCCCATCATGAGTACATACTGCTCTTCTCCTCATCTTGAAAGCAACGGTATCAAACTTTCTTATTTATTACTAAATTTTTGCATGAGTACTGTTCATATCCTGACATCAAGATGACATTAATAAAGAACACTACGAAATTGTATTCAATCTAATTGCACAAGTTCTCTATGGAGAGAGGGGTTTAATTGTTACTTTTTAAAAATGCAAAATCATGCAATTTTAAGATTTTACGTGGCTAATTAAGTAGATGAATCGAGTTTTCTTTTCGGAAAAATTAATTACTTTGTTAGCTTGCAGATAGGTAGTCGTAATGAGAGGCATTAAGTTAAGCAACTCCAGGAGTGAAATGTTTCTCTACTACGAAAATGTCAACCATATTACTGTCGCATTCAGTCAAAAGTAAGTCACTGATTCTTGATATCCAGACACTTTTTGTAAGAACTACTATCTTCTTATTGAGATGAAATTGTTCTTTCTTTTTAAGAGGGTAATAATAATGAGAAAACAGGTTTCCGAGAGATTTTTAATCATATTTATTTTGAAATGTTTTCTTCATAGAAAAATGAAAAACAAGAGAAACTGACAAAAACAACAAAGAAATACGAACAAGGAGAATACAGATGTATTCACAACAAAACAGAACTTGATACCAAAACACATTGTCATCCTAAGCAGAGCGCAAATTGATCAACAATTTTAGAATAAGGGTAAATTTGGGGGCTTGCTTTGCAAGATTACAGAGCAAGTTCTGAAAGATACTTTAGAAGTATTACTGATAAAGGAGATAGTGGTGATACATTAAGTTATATTTTGAGTGGTAAAAAGCTAGAGGGAGATTGGGATCGAAGAATTTGGCAATATTTTTGTGATAAACTTTTTGGTTAAAATTCTATGGGAGCTAGAAATGCCCTAGAAGTGATTATAGGATGATATTGTAGGATAAAAATTTACGCTCTGTTTCCTTCCTTTCTTTCTTCATTTTCTTCAGCATTTATTACTTAAAACAGTCAGATCACTAGAATTAGTGACTCACTTTGCTCAGGATGACAGAGCAGTCACCGTCATTTTGAGGACTCAGCAGTAATGGATACGTGATGCATTGTAAAGAAATAAAAACGAAAAAAAGTTTGTGATGGAATAAAATTAACTTTGTTGTACTATGTGGTTCCAAATTTTCCATGAAATAATAAGATTTGGTATGAAGACTACACAGCGTCACTGACACTTTATCGCTTTAAATGCGATCAAACTGAGACATTTCGCACAGACCTAGCAACTAAATTTGAACTTCCATTACCGATTAAAAAAAAAACGGAACATGATATAACATAAGCAGGGTTACCTTTGCTTGCATGCGCAGAATATAGAATTCCTGCATACATTCATAAAATAAATAAAGAAAGTAAAGAAATAAATAAATAAACAAATTAATAAAATAGGAAATTAGTAAGACCAAAATCAGTTAAAATACAATTCAATGGTCATGGTCTGGTTGACTGACAGTTTGATCAAAAACTTCTCTTAATACAAATTTGAAATTCCATGGAGTTTTACAAGTTCTTTGAAAAAAATTCTTGATGTGACTAGTTCAAGATCATTTGAACCATAGAGTGCCACTTAAAAGGAACATGCGCTTTAGCAGGGCTGTTGAAAAGAACAGGATTCAAGATATTTTTTCCCGTTTGCTTTTGGAGATCATAGAACCACTTTTGTCTTGGTTGGTATTTAATGATAAGCTAAAAAGTAATGCTTTATTATCAGCCAGAACGCCAAATTTCAACATTAGAAATAAATAGGAAAAATGACAAGTGAAAAATTTTGTGAGTGATGACATCTACTTTGCTCTCTAAGAGCAAAAACTCCTCCGATATTGAAAATAGAAATTCAATGTTTCTATGTTCTTCTATTTAAGCCGACTCATAAATATCAGTTATCAAAACTCTAGAATTTTTCAACTTTGACTTCAATCCTTTAAAAATACATGCCATTAAGAGTGAAAATAAACTGTAAAACAATTTTAGTGTAATTTTAAATATAATAAAAAGGTACAGGTTACATTGTACAGTTGCGTCTTTTTAAAGTTATACTGGCGAAATACCTGAGGGTAGAAATTAAATTATGATTAATAATATAATTCATGAATAGGTGAGAGGAGTAGTATTTACGAGTGAATTATCGACTGAATAAAAATAAATAAAAGCAGGGCAACCCTGCGTACATTTTAATTACAAACACACAAACTTACATTTTATGTAGTATACATTTTTCATCATAATAAAATAAACTCTCTCTTCAGGCGTCCATTCCAATCTATTTCAAACCTCTTTTACTTTTCCTCCAGAAAATTTGGAATTTTCTTTATGAAAACCAATATCGTCATACAGTTAAACTCAACAAATCTTAGATTTAAATTTTCGTAACAAGATTAAAACTTGAAAACTTAAAGTATGCGAAAAGAGAAAAAAATTAACGTACTTAAACGAATTCCTTAAAAGTAGGAGTAAAAGTAAGGACCAAGAAAACATTAAAATAAATATACGATGATCTTATGCACGATAAAAATTATACAGGCATAGGTATTTGTGATGCTGAGAGTAATTTTCATTCTCAAGTTTGTGTACATAAAAAGTGGGCGACTCAAAAGAGACTTTAAATCAGGAATAACAGCAGCTTGCAAAACCTTTTCATCATTCTTCTTGCTTCGATAACTGTGAAATATCATACTCCCGACAACATATTGCACTGAGAGTTAGGAACTGGCCATAAATTATCTCCTATTGAGATTTCAATCGTTCAAAAGCATGATTTCGGAGTTTTAGAGCTTTGCACTGATAGCGTCTTTTAAAACAAGACAATATAATTGATGACAGTACTGAAGCATAAGGAAATAAAAATTAGCTCTCTAGAAAATGCTCCAAAACTCCTTCTAGTGTGTTACAAGCACTGCACAAATTTGAAGCTTTTAAAGCTAGTCACTATCGACTTCTTCCTGAAAGAAACCTTAACATTTCCTGACCATAACCTCCATTAATGTTGCTCGCAATCTGTCAACAAGTCGCTGCAGTTCATCAGCCTTCGATTTCAATGCACTGTTCGTAGCTTCCAACTCCTCTGCTTGGATTTTCATCTCCACTTCACGCGATTTGCGATTCATTCGAGATCGGCGTGATGCTTCATTGTTCTTGTCTCGCAATTCACGATACTTATCATCCGTGTAAACGGATGAGTCCTCGCTGGTTGTCGAGAGCTTACGCTTCTTCTGCGGGGGGTAGAGGATGTTCTCGGATAGTGAGTTGGTTTTGTTTCGGAACAAAACTGGTCGATACTCGTCCAGTTCGATCTTGATTCGCGGCTCCACTACAGCAACTTTTTCTTTCGGGCGAGAGGGTCTCCTGCGTGCTGGAGGTGCTCTTCGTTTCTTCTCTTCTTTGACTGGCGCATTCGTTTTTATCTCTTTTGATTCTTTCGGCGAGACGTTCGGAACTTCCACTTCTTCTGGCTCCTCTTTGATGGCGATGAGGGGTGCTAAGAGCGGCTCTTCTGCTTTCGGTGTGAATAAGGGTTGTATATCAAGTTGTTCTGGTTTGATTTCCGGTGTATTCAAAACATTCGTAGTTTTTCCATCAACATCTGTTGGATATTTGTCCTGAAAAAACACAACAGAAATAGAACATGAGCATAATGTAAGAAAAACATTCGGATGACAGGTTAGTAAAAACTGTTCAGTCTGCTATTAAAGTTATTACATTCTTTTCCCACTTCCTCTCAAATTTGTAGTTCTAAGATTCATCTTGTAACTTCTTTGATAGCTCCTGGCAAGCATTTTCTCTGAGCTTAAAGTAATAATGAGTCAAGGAATTATTTACAGGGTGTCTCATCAAATTGAGGAAAAAAATAAAAACAGAATTTCAAAACCGGCCGGCTTTTTCAAATTTTCCACTAACTCGTCTCTAAAATACAGGATAGAGAAAAAAATGTAAGAAGGAAAAATTCAAATTTTCTTCTTCTTTATTTTTCTTCTTTTCTTCCCATCCTTGTTTTTTAACTGCTACCTTCCAAATTGATACCTTTTTCGTAAGAAACCTGATACACAACTTTGTGCCTAGCTACAGAGTTGTAAATAGCCATAGTTTCTAAGACACCGCTTTAAAATAAACATGTATATTAATTACTCCTACTTCTTTTTCTTTTTTTTTAAGATTATTTCTTCTTTTACCTTGATGAAAAATTAACACCTTTCCCTGGTTCACATAAAATAATTGGGTGTAGCTTCCTCTAGATTTTCCAGATGTTTCAGCCCTGCAGACACCCTGCTTGAAGCAGTCAATTGGACGTATTTCTATCAAACGGAACTAAGGGCCATTGGGGGAGGAGGGAGAGGGGGGCTTGAATTGGCGGGTGTTGCGGAACGCAATGCTCGCTCCGTCCTATATTTTCAATGCTTTTCCATGGCACTTGGTTCCTTTTAACAGAAATGTGTCCAATTAACACATTGACTACCCGTGTCGGCCCATCAAGGCCAGCAGAGACTCTTGACAAATTCACCTCTATTGATGCCATACTGAGCGAATTGAGCAAAAAGATTGGTGAGAGCTGACACACTCATAGAACCAATGAAAAATGTAAAAATTACATCGAGGCAACTGTGGTGCATTTTAGGGGATACTTTAATGACAATCAGTTATGAGGCAAGCTGATAGATATTACTTGTAGCTTGCGCAAAACTGGTCCCTTTAGACTGGCATTGATATCATCAGATCGAGGATCCTTACGTCTTGATTATCAACATGTGAAAAAAAAATTGATTGAGAGGTCAGGTTGGTCGCTCCCCCAGTTAGATTACCTAGCCAAGCTCTTCAACCGATCATACTATAGACTGAAGGGCTAGTCCATGATTCAAAAAGAGCTATATAGCATACTAACCTCTTCAAAAACATACGCCAACAAGTTGAAACTCGAATTCTTATCGGTGAGTGGACCAAGTATATCAGGAGTTGTCATATTAAGCTCTTTCTTCTGCGCAGGAACTTGTGATGTCTGGACGAAACTCGACGGAGAGTCTGAAGATGCAAGCGGCTCGGCTGCTAGCGTGAGATCCAGTTTCAACTGAGCATCTCGCCGCCCTACCAGACTGTTGTTCGCTGGTTTTCTGAAATTGAGCGATGTGACTTTGCCGCCTTGCGGAGGGTAAAGTTTCCCACTGTTGGTCCCTGGGCTTGGCGTTAGGCTTTCCACACCACTCTTGTCATCTTCTTCTAACCATGCGAAAGTCGGAACGTCCATCAATGAATTTATTTCATCCATTTTCATTGCTGGAACATCAGATTCACCTGTCGCTGAAAAAGAAAAAGACAGATTAATCAAAGAGTTATCATTTCAAACAAGCTAGGGTGAAGAAAAGTAATGAAGGATAAAAACTTTATTATTTTGGGGGTTCAAAACATGCCTCAACTCTAGAATAATAAAAACGTCTTGGGGTGTCTTCTAATATTCTAAATTCCATAGACAATTGCTGCCACTTCTGAATTCTAGACAGAAAATTATAAAATTTGGTAGGATTTTAAACGTTCATTTTTTTTTTTTTTTTACTTTTTCCCGCAGCTCACCAATGGGAAATATTGCACACTCATCAAGGAGAAAGAAATTAATTGAATATTTTCAAGTTATTTCAGGAAATTTATTCTGAAATACCACAAAGGAGAGGATAATGTCAAATAAATGGGTTCATGAAAAGTCAGAGTGGAAACTCAGTTCAGTCATTAAATACTAAGTTTCAAATGAAAAATCTACATTAAGATATTTAAATTTTGAGATGAGACTCTCAAGAGTTTGTCAGAGCTCTCTTGAATGGCAATAGCTGAAGTTGCCCGGCAGATGCACTTCCCGCTTAGTCGTACATTTTGTCCTCGAGAACAACATTTAATATTTTACTGATCATTTTTGCCATTTAAGATGGAGGTATTAAAATGTTTCCTGAGATTTTTTGCGTTTAAAAAAAATAAGCGAACATTCACCTCCGGTAAGATTACAGGATATAAAAATTGTAACATTTTTCTCCTCTCTCTTCTGCTCCTTCAGTCATTATTTTTTTTGCCTGCTTACTAGGATTGGCCTCAAGACAAGGCTCACACTAATTAAAATTTAAAAACAATTACTACCTCACTTGCGACAAAGCTCTTGGGCAATAGGTGTCTTTCGAGCAACAGCTCATCATCAGTGCCACTGCCGCCAAAGAAATTCATCGCAAGTGAGTTAATAATTTTTTTTAAAATTTTAATTACATGACTTGTGCTGAAATACCTCCCTCAATTTATATTTAGGCTCACACTGTTACTTCTGAAACAAGATCTTTTGGCCACCTCATTGGTTTCGTAATCTTATTTTTACAGAGAAAGCACGGTCAGAAAGTTCAACAATTTCGATTTGAGTCCAACGCTTTGAGCTCTGATGAGCATTAATATTCCAATGCATCTGCTTGAGCTGAACACTCTCCCCCTCAGTCTAGTACTGATATTCATTAGAGCTCAACATTTTTTACTTCAGTTGAAATTTTTGAACTTTCTGGCCTTACCTACCCTGCAAAAATAGTTTGGACCCACCCAGCACTATTTCACCACCGTAGAACAAAGACATACACAGGCAGCCCAAAACAGAAACAGTAGAAAGAAAACAAGGAAACAGCAGGAACAGGGCTACAGTATATAAAATTATACAGGACGTTTTGGTGTCTCACGACAGTATTATCGACCACTAAGAACAGTAAAGTACAATAAAAAAGAGGTAAAAAATGAAAAAGAAATTAAAATCAAATGAAACTATTTTAATTTTGTACTTTACTGTTTCTAGCAGTTGATAATGTTGTTGTCAGACACCGAAACGTCCCGTATAATTTTATGTATTTTAGCCTTGTTTCCGCTGTTTCTTTGCTTTCTTTCTATTACTTCACCACCTTGTCACATTCAGTTCGGGCCACATTTTAAATGTTTTTTTCTTGTTTCGTAATCTTAATCTTACCTGAGCTTGATTGATTGATTCCACGTTCATCCACTACTGTCGTCGTGAAGCTGGTCAGGTCCACGAAGTCCTCCGTCCACCAAGTTGAGGGGGTGTCCATCATTACTGGAGGAATACTTGTGGCTGCTAAGGAAGCACTGTTCTCGCCAAGAAATCCGCCCCACTTTGGCTTCCCTTGCTCCTGACCACATCTTCCACGCGACTGTAAAAACAAAAAAACGTACATTAGACAACTGCATAAGAAATAAGAGGGTAGTTGGACATGGAATAAGGCTTTAGATTCAATTCCTTCTGTCAATGGTAATTGGTCTCAGCAGAGTCTGATTTCCAGAGTTACCAATCTAGTATATTTCGAAAAAATAAATGACAAAGATCGAACAGACTTTATACAGGGTTGCCACACAATTTAGGGCATGAAATTTCATGACATTTCCTCAATTTCCGGAACACATTTTGGAGAAATTCCCTAACAATTGAAGGTATTACAGTGTGTTGGAGTTTTTTAGCCAACGTGCATTAAAAATTCAGCATGAAGCTGAAAAACTCCGACATACCTACTGTCGAACGAGTGCGTCTACCGCAATCAGTTTGTGAATTGAAGGTATGTCAAATGGTTAAAAAGACATAATTTGAAACAGTTGTAAGGCAAAATTTGTTGTTCAAGACTTCAAACCTCTTCTAAAAGCAAATAAAGGTGACTAAGCTAATTTTCCCTATCACTTTCATTTTTCCTTCTGACGTTTTCCGGTATTCCTGCCTGTGGCAATCCTGCATAATACAGTAACACTCTCGTCAAATAAATTTCCAAACCAAAGCATCATGGCCACGCATTTTTAAGGGCATCATAAGTTATTCTTCATTCATATTCAATTTTTGAGCGGTCTAATTCACTATATCGATGACCGAAATGAGAAACCACGTATGTCCATTTCGTTGTATCAAGATTTTCGCTCATCTTAATTTTTTCAAGGAGAAACAAGCAAACTTCATAAATTGAGAAACAGAGAGAAAAAATAAATGAACTTCTAGAGAAATTTCTAGGACTAGTTCTTTAAAAGTAAGGAAAGTTTCACAGGAAGTCTGCAACGTCAGAAACGAAGACACATGGTTCCGCCATTTCGCCATCGGTATTAATCTTCAATATGCATACATTTTATGTATTCCTTGACTGAACTGACTACAGCACTAGTATCATTAAAAAGACAAAATTTTACAACCGAAAATAAAACAAAAATTGTGCAAAACTATATTAAGCATAGGTGCAGCTAGTAGAATTTGATTTAGGGGTGTGACTGTCCCGACTTGGTCAAATGTCTACAGCTAGTCGAGATTCGGGGACAACCTGAAAAATGTAAATAAAATTGACCTACCGGAGACACTTTATGACTTTCAATCCAACGTTTGACGATTAGATTTTCCGATAGAACCAAATTCTTTCCGCCACAGATTTTCTAGAAGAGGAAGTTACGGTCTTTTGGAAATCTGAGGAAAGGGGAGTCAAAATCCCTTATAGCTACACCTGTGAATTTGGGGCTTCTAATGTATGTACTGTACAATCCAAAGGTGAAACTAGGTAGAGAGATCAGTTAAAATTTGCACGATTCCTGTCACATTTTTTACTGCTGTAGGAAAATCAGCAGTTCTATATTTCAGCAATTCCGCATGATTTTACTCGGGCCGACCAACAACTTTGATGAAAAATATTAAGAGAGAATTTTTCCTGTTGAAAAGAATGATCGACAATAGGAATTTTGGTTCACGATGATCAAGATCTGCATTTTTCTCGTTTCACCCTTGATAGATAGCTCATTCCCATAGAAAAACAAAAAATAATACAACAGACTTTAAACCCGATGCTGCCGGTTTTTGCAGAGTTTTCTTTTTTGAATCGTGATTCCTAGAAAAAAGGAAATTAATTCCTGTGGAGTGACAGGATCAGTGAAGCCTGCCGCAAATAAAATGCAATTTTTCAATTTGGCAGAGGAAGGAAGGGGTTGGAAGAGTCCTTATGAAATGCACCTCATAATGCTGTTGTTATCGCCTGAAATGGGAAGTAGTACTCCTGTGACTATGGAGTACTACTATGGCCCATAGTGGTCATATACTATGGGGCTCAACAGCATGGAATGAATCCAAGCAAAACCCCTCCATTCAAACCATACCTATTTTGGACTTCGTGATTTCTGGAAGGATTTAATTATTGCTATGAGGGAAAAATGACGACAGCGAATAAATTCCGATTATCCGACGAGAACTGGTGGTTCCAAACCTTCATTACAGTGGTAACGATGGAGGAGGGGAGAGGGGAGGGGGGTCTTGAATCCACATACTGTAAAAAGTGCATGCCCAACCTAAAAAGTGACTTTTCCCCTACAGTACCTAAACACTACTTACGCAGCAACGTTAGAATAACTGCCGCTCTAAAAACTGATAGACTACATAAAACAGCTTTCACTGAGATGCATGTTCAAACAAGATTTTGAGAGGGAAGTTACGTGCAGGAATTGAACTTTGGTGCATAAATGAACAAAAAGCTCGGTAGATGTAAGTAGCGTCAGAGTTCCGGATTCTGCACGTTAGCAACAGGACCATATGGGGCTTCCCGCGTTTCTTGGGAGAATTTCCGCTCCAAAAACAGCAGCACCGTTCGGTTATGCAGGCGCGAAAGGGTGGATACTTACGGCATCCATGCGGTTTTTTGTGAGCTTTAGAGCCTTTGAAATTACCCGGCGAAACCTCAGCTCAAAAGGTCGCTCCTGAGGAAGTTTTTATCTCCACGGAAGACTTCTTCAGATACTTTCCCCAAACAGACTCTTGGGTCAGTCTTTGTTGGATAATAAAGAACCACTGAAGTAGATCTGCGACAAGATTGATTCAGGCTTTTGTTAGTAAGTTAGTTATTTGGTCTGAACCCAGACTGGATCCCTAACTCACCTTCTGATTTAAAACCTCTTCAAAGGTAATGATGCCTGCTTTCAAAGCTTCGGAAGAAGTGATGTTGTTGATCACTTTAACCTGAAATCAAAAGAAAAGAGTATTTGTGAGTAGAGGGTAGGAATATACCATTTAAGACAGTAGTAATAAAAACATTTTAACGGAGAATACAACTAGTTGAAAGATTCTTGTGTATTTTGTTAAAATCCGTTTGCAACTCATGTATAATTTTTATGGGTGTGCTGATGTTTCGAAATATTACTCATACGAACTAATGTAAAAATCTTCTCATTGCAATTTTCTAACGAAAAAATTGAGAGCGCAGCAGCATGTTTTTCAATGAACACTTGTCAAATCAGTGAGAAAATAATTAAGTTTTTCAAAATTCCACAGATACATTCATTCTCGATTCTGACTGTTCGACCAACAGAATTCACCAAAATTCTGAATCGCAGATTAGAAAGATGTTCCTTTTTTGATCGGGAAAATTCGCCTGATCTCATGTGATACCAAACATCAAAAACTTGACGTCAGTAATTTTATTTTCAAGGTATTTTTTTTGCTAATCTAGAAGTTTCGACCGTCAAAACACGATTATGTGACCGAATGCAACGGTGACCCGTTGCGTAAATGGCGAGACGACATTCCACCGCATCGAACAATCAAGAGGTCTGAATCGTTACGTAATGCGAAAAAGAGGGTCCGGGTCTGCGTTACGGGTGCGTTACGCGGAGAGTAGGAGGGGGGGACCGGAAAAAAGCGTTACGTAACAACATTCCGTCGTTCCCTGGACGAAAGAACGTAACTGCATTCCGACATTGCGAAGTTTCCGTTCGCAAATTTTATTTTTACGAAACGACTTTTGAGAGTTTCTTGCTGAAAATTTCAATGATTTTTCTTTCGAGTAATCGCGACGTTGTGTCGTTTCGTAGACGATGGAACGTCATACTCAATCGAAAGATTAAAGAATTTTTTTAAAATGAAATATTTTACAAAGAAAAGAAATTTGTGATTTTTGTTGAAATGTTGCTGAAAAGCCAGACATTTTCATTTCAGGACATCAGAAAATTCAATTTTGGAATGGAAATTTTGGAAACACAGAAATTTAGTTACTTCCTTTTGTTACGGGAACGACGGTGCGAATCGAAAATTTGTTGAAGAGAGATGGAACAGTTATAACTAAGTGAAAAAAAAGAGAGTTAAGATTTTAACAACTTTGGAATGGAGTTAAGTTCCTTGAACTAAGAAACGACTTTATCCTTCGGGAAACATTGAAATGTAGTTACGATCTCATGTCAGGGAAACGACGCACATCAAGAATCGAGCATTTTCAGAAAATAGTTCGAACGGTGATTTTACGTTAAAAAAATCAATTTTTAAGGTAAATTTCACGACCTTCGAATAGAGTTAAGTTCTTTTGTATTGAATTGTTCAAAAGGAATTTTTTGTACAGTGCTTCGGCCAAACAATTATCTCAATCTATGTCATGGCACTGATAAATGCAAAAACTTTCGAATACTCATAAAAAAAAAAAAAAAAAAAAAAAAAAAAAAAAAAAAAAAAAAAAAATTGTAAGTTTTACAGACTTGGAATGGAGTTAATTTCCCTCGTTTGGGAAAAACAACTTATTCACAGTCTTGGAATGGAGTTAAGTTCCTCCGTCTGGGAAAAACAACTTAATCCCCTAATCCCCCTCCCACTACCAGTCGCGGCGAACGAACGACCTCGAAAGGCCCTCGAGGCGGTCGAAATATCATTGCAAATCTACAAGAATAAGAGCCTTGACCCAGATTCCGAGTTTAAAAAAATGGCGGGCAGGACTGATGATGCGAAAGCATGTGGCCGATGTTGCGAGAAGCGCCGGCGTTCGGCATTCCGGTAGCAGTCGGCGACATCTCCGGGCCGCACATGACTCATGACTCACCGGGGGAATTTGCGCACTTCACGCACCGCGACGACGCGAGCTTTCGCTGCGAGCTCCCCGCGGGACAAAACCGCGTATCATCACCCGGAGTCCCGTGGGACTTAGGTGGTTCTTGGGGGGCGGGGCGGCTCAGCGGCGGAGTGCGGTGCGATTCGGCAGCAGGCGCGAACTCTCGCCGGTAACGTTGTCGAATCGGGCAAATTTTCGCGTTCGATTCGGTGCGAATCGTGCGAATTTAATGGGAGATTTGACAACGTTGTTCGGTCGTCGCGCGGCCGACCGCCAGACGGCGCTGATTCACCCGGAGCCACCTGATGCACGGCGCGCGGTTCACGTTTTCTCGTCGGTCGTATGATCTGAGATCACAAGATGTGTTAACCGAAAAAAAAAATCTCGCAGTTTTGAAAAAAAAAAAAAAAACCACACACTGGCTAAAAAATAGAATTTTCTATGGAGATGTAAAGATATCGATGGCTAAAGTGCAAAACAACGTATCTCCATTTGCGACGTTGCAGACTTCCGGTCATACTTAATTCTTACTTTGGAAAACTAGTCAACGATATCGATGGCTTAAGTGCAAAACAACGTATCTCCATCGGCGACGTTACAGACTTCCGGTCATACTTAATTCTCACTTTGGAAAACTAGTCAACATAGTTTCCACAAGACTTCCTGGATTTTTCTTTTCTTTAGTCTGAGAAGTCCGCAGAAATATCAAACCATACAGTTAACTTGTTTCTCTTCGAAAATATAGAGAAAGGGAAGATATTTTGAAACACCGCTATGGAGATACACGGTGAAGCACTTAAGCCATTGATATGGGGTTCTCTTTAGGAAACATGTCAAAAAAAGGTGCTGAAATCCTTGAAAGAAATATCAGCATACACCTCTTTCAGCGTCAAAAAATCAGCACTCTTACTGAAATTTCAGCACATCTACGGATCCTGGCTCAACAAAAAATTCTCGACACCATAAACGCATGGCCCACAGTGGAGTGAGTCTATCAGAGAGGTCGGACAAGAAATTTTTAACTAATACTGCAACTTTTGAAGCTTAAGTGATTTGTACATTTTAAATTTAAGAGGCATCTCTGTAAGAAATTTTACGAGGAAACCAATGGAACCACTTTTAAAACCTCAAAGTTTTGTATGAATGGAGTTATAAGCTTTTAAAGTTTCCAAATTTTGTCCGACCTCCACCAATAACTCGACCCATTGTGCGGTCTGAGGAGCCGAGGCCCGGCCCGCATCATTTCATATCCTATTCGACAGGTTCAGACCTGTCCGTCGCGTCGCACAGTGGATACAATCAATTGGAGGGGTCGGACATGAACTTTATGGCTAAAGCTGCGAATTTTGATGTTTATTTCGTCACATTTTAAATTTCATGGGGTGTTCCTGAAAAAAAATTTCACGAGGAAACCAATGGAGTCATTTTCAAAATCTCAAAGTTTTAATTTAACGAGGTTATAAGCGTTTAAACTTTCCAAATTTTGTCCGACCTCTCCTATTGACTCGATCTACTGTGCGTCGGAGCAGAGCTACGACATTCATCGTAAAACCGCGAATCTACGCCCGATCTTCATTGGAGATACGCTGTTCTTTCTCGGCCAGATCAGTGACGTCATCCGACGTCGGACGGAACGAGGCAGTCGCCGTGACGTAAGCAACCCGCCAATCGAGATTCCGCCTCGGCCCGATAAGCGGTCTACGAGACGCAAGGTTAGCAGGCGCGACATGTAGAAGTGGGCTATCGACGCCCCCTCCTGACGTTACGTGGGCGTTTCCGCTAGATTTTGGACACAAATTTCACGATCGCTTCTTGAATCGTCAACGCTGAGTACTAGGAGAGAAACAACGAACAGAAGCTGGTGCGAGATAGCTTTCACGGCCGCGTGACGTCACTAGGTATAGCTTTGAATTTTCCGGAAACTATGAATCTACTGAAAAATCTCATACCCCAAAATTTGCTTGAAAATTTAATTTAATACAAGCCAAGGTGGCAAATTTTCTTGGATTTCAAAATTCCCTCGTCTTACCCAGGATTTTAAAACGAAAAATTCCCTGATTTTTCAGATTTTTTTTTAGTTTGTTTGAAATTGCCTCATTTTCCGATTCCTTGATTTTTCCTGACTTCTCGGACTCAAAAATGTTCGAATTTCTCGACGGTTAAACATAACTTCCTAGGAAATTACTTTTTTCTATTAACTACACTTGTTTTTGTTAAACTCAGCTTGCAAAGTTGCCTGAATTTTCCTATGAATTTTCTTAGGAATTTCCCGACTTCCTCTAGTTTGTGCAGGTTGCCATAGATTTCCTGCTCTTCCAGATTTCCCAGACCGCCAAAAAACCCGTTTTTCTTATGAAAAATCACGAGGAGAGAGGTTCAAAAAGTAATAAAAAGTTGTTTAACTCCTCGCAAAAAATTTTGAGCGCAGTACCTATATTTTTCGATAAAAAAGTGAAATATTTTGACTGAAAGAATGAATGCTAAAGTTCTGCAGTAAAATGTCCTAACTCCTTCAGTGTACCCCAGACTTTCAAGAACTTGTCACCTTCCTATAAACGTTGAAAAAAGGGACTGAGCGCAACATCTCAGCTGATTTTGCTGAGTGTCTAGTGACGTCAACAAGTTGCTGCGGACACGACGCGACGCGACGGAGCGCCAGCTTTTATTAATTGGTCTTGCCGCGAGTTCACGCGACCTTATCATTGGAGGATGTAATTCGATAAACCAGCTCGCGAATAACGGGAACTATGGATATTTTTCGAGGAAAAAAGGATATGATTTGCGGATTGAAGCGACGTCGAGGGCTCGAGTGATGACGTAACAATCGAACGGGATGACAGAATATCGAGCGGGCTGGATGTTGTTCCACTTTTCTTTATCTCACTCAACCTACAAGTATGATGAAGTGGCTCATAATTCTCCATTTTAGATGCTTTATAGCTCTTTTAATCTCAGTGGGTCCAGTAAGCTCATAAGATCGTGTTTAGATGGCCGGTTCTGATCAAGAGACGAAAATTTTACGAGTCTGTGCAAAGGCGTCCCGGCTGTTTCAATGACTGGCTTTGGATGCAACTATTCGTGTTCTGGGGATGTGCGTGTTGCATACACAAAAAATTGCAGGCGCTCTGATTGTCTCAAGCACAGCTTG